GTAACATATTTTTACTGAAGAACAAAGGAAGGACAAGAAGCCATGAACTTAGAGGCTTCTCACACAATATTTTGATAGGTTGTTCTATCTCTCTTACTTTTTATTTATTTTTGAACTTGCTAAAAAACATTAAATTATCTATCAATCCTTGGGTTCTCATGTCACGTAAAGAAAATAAGTGAGTTTGAATGTCTCTATTTTAATCCTTGGTTTGGTCTTGCTTTTTAACTGTCTTCCGTTTTGCAAGCATTGGGGGAGCCATTGTGCTCTCTTTAAAAAAGAAAAGAAAAGAAAAGAAAAGAAAAAGAAATCATTGTTGGCCGATTAAAAATGGAGTTGGGTACATACTTCATAACCTTCTTTTAATATATTTCTTTTTCAAAAAAGAACAATTAAATAAGGAGATTTCAAGAAATTCTTTTTTTTATACTCTAGAGGAATAGAACTTAAAGAGCTACTGGTTTTAGTGGTTTAGTAATGGTTTTTTTTTTTTTTAATAAGAGGTTTTAAGTTTAAATCTTATGTTATGTAGATAAGTTAGATTAATAAATAATAAAGGTTATTTTTCATTATACTACTTAATTAACATATAGGACAATAAAAAAAAAAAACTTAATTAACATATAAAAAGGGAAATAAAAAAAAAAAAAAAAACTTTTCCCTTGTTTGGTTTAAGGGAAATAAAGGACATTCCCTCTCATTTTGTTAAATTAAAATGCACAATAAATTAAAGCAAAATAAGCAAAACGCTTCTCCTTCCTTTCCCTATATTTTTTTTAATCAAAATTCCTTCCCCTTCCTTCCCCTCTTTCCTTTCTCCTCAAAACAAACAAGTTATTAAGATGTTTCACAACCATTACATTAATTATTAGGCTAATGTTTCATTGTTATGGAAAAGGTTTGTATGAAATACTAACAAACGAAACCTAACTCCTTTGTTTAGGGTGGGGATTCAGGGATTGGGTTAGATTCTAGATCTTAGAAAGGCTGAACGCTTATCAACCAAACCATACAAAATGTTCATTACATCATGGAAATCATAATTCAAGATTTATTTATACATGTATTTTAGCATTACTTTGTTTCCTTCAATTTAGTTGCAATTGCTGATATGCTGGAATCAAAATGAATCTCCAGATTTAATCAAAAGAAGAAAACAATTTTTATAGCTGTTAATATGGCCTTTCAAGCCGCGGTATCACAGAAATGACTTACAATATTCTGGGGAGAAGTTCTTTGATGCCTTGCTTGCTTCATAGTTTTAGTTGAACTCGATTATCAAAAGTTCATTGCTTTCATATTTCCTTGTCCAGTAAAGAGTAGCAGTAAAGAAGAAAAAGAAAACGAAAATAAAAGTTTGTTTGATGAATTAGCTTAAGCAAATTAATTCAATCTTCTGAATAACAATAATTTTCTTTACTTTAATAACTTAGATTGCATTGAGCAATATTAGAAAATAATGAAAAAAGATAAATATTAATCTTTCAACAGCAAAATTCAAATTCTTATTTTCTTCTGCATTTTTGGAGTTCTTTCTCGGAGTAAATGTACATGTATATAGATTTATGAAGCTTTGTATCATAGTCAATGCCCTCTTTAATACTAGGAAGCTTTTGTCAACAACTGAATAATTTAATGATAATCCTCTTTTTAAAAGTAAGATATCTTAAATTCAAGTCGTATAATATACAGTTAGGGTGAGTTAAGAGTAAAATATAGTTGCCTCTCATTGTGTAATACAAAATAAAACTAAAAAATAATAAGAAAAAACATATTATAACAAGTAGCAATTTAAGAATCTGCCTCTCTCATTATACACCAAATTAAATGTGCTCTTACATTTATATTTTTACCTTAGACAACGCTGTTAGTAAACTTTTCTTAAAACTGCATTCATTTTAATGGAAGCAGCTTTGGTGGTCTTTATTGCAATTGGTCGTCATTGGCAGAAGGTTTACTCATTTCCTCATTGCATTTTACTTATCATGCAATTCACTTCATCATGTGGGATGAACATTTTTTCTATTAATTTATATTATTCAATGGAGGATCTGCCATTTGATCCAACTGGAGAACGTGGTAGCATTTTGTCCTTAATTGAAAATAATATTGATAAGTGTATGTGGATTAGAAACCATAGTCACAATTCAAGTGTGTTATAACCAATCTACTTTTAAGAAGTAGATCCAAACAAGTACCAAAACATCTAAATAGAAGTCTTCAAAAAATGTCAAAATCTATGTTTGTGTGAATCTAACCTACAACCACATGATTAAAAGCATGCTGTCATGAGACAAGACTTTAGCAAGTTACCATGTGGCACTTAGCTCAGAAATAACTCCTGACTTGAACCAAATCAGCCTTCCCCAGTGCTTGGCATTGGACTACAAGGTTAGCAACACATGATGATGACGGTAAGAGCTTGGAAGAAGAATAGAATTTATTAGATCGCAAGGAAGTGTTACAAGAGCTTAGAGCACATAGCCCCTCTATGCACTCACTCTCACCCTTAGCAACTCACTCTAACCTCATTTGGCCTCCCTCTTGGCCTTTCTCTCCTTGGAGCAAATGGCTCTCCTATTTATAAAAGAGGTCTACCCTAAGCCCTGCAGGTGAGGGCTTTAGAACACTCCACAAAACTCCCTTATATGTACAATTCCAGAAGCTTCTCCACTCCTCTCTCCTAGCTTAGCCTACATTATTTTGGAACAATCCACTCTAGAATTATGTACAAGGCCTTAGGATGCTCTACACACGAGCTTGGCCTAGCAAGCCCTTCTAGACCCTTGTCTAGACACCAATCCTGCACTCTTGCCACTTTTAAAGAATTATAGGCAGCTCCAGATCTTGCCTAAGTGTCGATATCTAAAATCCTTTGTACAATCCTGGTGTCGACACTTTCTCCACTGCTAGTGTGACACACCTCCTAGACACTCCTGGCCACTCCCACGCATGCCAGTGTATCGATCCTAACCACTCTCACACACACCAGTGTATCGACCCAGACCACTCTTGCATGCACATGTGTGTCGCTTCCGACTACTCCTGTGTGCACTTGCGTGTCATGACTACGACCCCATGCCACGATCCTGGCATCGACACTTCCACTGGCAAGGTCCACCTCTTAGCATTCCATGCCGCACCTATGCACACAAGGGTGTTGTGACCGCAACCCCGTGTCACGATGCTCTAGACTTGGGCCCCCGAACTCACGCTTCGTGACAATGCACTCTACCAACTAAGCTAAGACAACTTGTATTTTTAAGTAGAAGTCCTATATTTAAATCTTGAGATGAACAAAGAGTAGTTGGGAAAATGATAGCTTGTTTTTTTTAGGATGTGTCTAGTTTGAAAGAAAGAGAAGAGAGGGTAGGGAAAGGGAGGAGAAGAAAATGGAGAAAAATGAAAGGATACAATATCCTCTTCCCTTCTCCTCAATTGAATTAGTCAACAAATTAGAGGTGAAAACTTAAGTAAAAGACTTCCCTCTCCTCCCCTCCAATTTTTTTAATAACCATATAGAAGAATTCTCCCCTCAGACCAAACATACCTTTTAATAGAAGTCTTGTATTTAAAATTTGAGATGGACAAAGTGCAGTTTAGAAAATGAAAGACTTTTCTTTAGAGGTAGAGATGAACAAGTACTAAAACTTCTAAACAAAGGTATTTCAAATATTTCAAAATTTGTTGTATATGAAAATTGAATATGTAATCATATTATTAAAAGTCATGCACTCTACTAGCTAAGTTAAGACTACTTATTTATTTATTTTTTTTAAAAAAGCAAGTTTTATTAAGAAGTACAAGAGATACTCAACCCATAACATTACAACACTAATAAAATTGCAAATGCCTCTCCTAGACACTTTCAAAATCTCAACTTATTTAGTCACACGTTGGGGGTTTAATAGCCAATCAAAAGAGAACATTCTCAATGCCTTCCCTTTCTGTGACAACCACTCTGGCCTGTACTAGATCAAACATCCTATTAACGTCTACCACACCTTTATTAAATAACTTCTCATCCATGATGATCCAAACAGTTCAAACAAATGCAAACCAAAGACTACTTGTTTTTATCATGGACCAAGGGCAATTAGGAAAATAAATTACTATACAATGGTTCTTTAATTTAATTACTAAACCAAGGGCCTTGTGATTATTTCGTTTCTATTTTATGCAAGTATTGTTTGTCATAGAAGCATATATTCTCCATGATTTTATTTGTCTCGAGTCATGAATCTTTATTGGGTAAGCAAGCTCGAGGAGGTTGGTTTGGTTCAAAGCATATTGAGTAGATCAAAGCTATGGACCACAATTTCTTTGTAGGAACAGGAAGAACATGTGAACTGAGCAAGAATGGTCCTCATCAAGGTAGGATTTTCTTTATTTTTTGCTCCAATAATAACTCAACAAGTTCCATCTATTTCTCTACCTTTAATACCTCCTTAATCTTGAACGGCAGTTATGTCTTGCTTGCTTGACTTTATAACCCTTTACAAACAGCAAAGAATCCTACTGAAAGAAGAATCAATGAACCTCAAAAAATGTGTCTTACCCAACGGAAGAATTTTTTTTTTCTTTTTACTATTAAATTCTCTAAATCAGATTTTGTGCACTCTATGATCAATCTCTTTCCCGTGGAGGATGTTAACAATTAGCAAAAGATGACTACATCTTTGTTTGGGAGTGCTGTTACTAAAGTATAAAATTAATAATTAAAAGAAAATAGAATTAGAATATTATTTTTTAAAACAAATTATATGTAGTTTACTTTATAAAATTATTTAAATAACCTTAAAGTTTATTTTATATTAATTTATTAAAAACATTTAAATAATTTTATAAAATAAATTACATACAATCAACCTTAAAAAACAATTTTCAGAATTAAAATATATAAAACATTAATTAAAATAATAAAATAATAAATGTATATTTTTGTTAATATGCTGTGTGAGAAAAATTTATGTTAAGCATTCTCAGCGAAAGCCCGTGCCGTGTGACCAAAATATTTATTTGCACCGTCTCGGAAGGAAATGCACATTTCAAACAACTAATCGAATAATGCTAATCAAAACACCTTGGGCAGCCTTGAAACAAATTTGGTGGGTAGGGCCAACGTTCCCCCGGATCAAATACACATTAACAAATGATGAAGGTTACAAATAAAAATGAAGGAAATGGTCAAGTGCCTTGTAGGACTCGAGCTGTCAAATCAACCAACGACTCCTCCACAAGCTCTTCCAGCAACTTCCGTTCTATCTCATTCCCCAGGTTATCCATTTCTAACTTCATTTGATCAACCCATCCTTTAACCACTACCTCATTCCTTACCATCCTCTCCACAACCAGGCTGTAGCTGTCCCCATCATCTCCTGGGGTACACTTCTCGTCGCTGGCAAACCAATCCTTCATTTGGGCCCACACATGGTCTACCAGGGTGGATGGTGCGCCCTTAGAGGGCTGGCGCCTGTCAAATGACGTGGTTTTTATACTACTATCTAACCCATGACATGTTATTTCCACTAATGCTGAATTGACACAATCAAATGCAAGCTTCTGGTTTGATCTCCATTGTGTTCGCTTAGCCTCATGCACACTCTCCTCATTCAAGTTGACACATTTTTCTCTCAATGAAGGGTTCAATGGGCTTTCAGGCAAATGCCATCTTGCAATAAATAAGTCACATTGCGCTTCAGGATCAAGGCCAGCTGCTGATAACAATGATTGGACAAAGGAGAGCCAATCCTGTTCTTCCTCCTTTCTGCATGGGGAACCTGAAGAGGGTTTTGATGGATGAGTTGGTGTTTCTGCACAAGAACCATCCCACGATAGTGTGCGAGCAATTGATTCTATAGGGGGTGACTTGCCAATCAAGTTAGATTTTGGCAGCACCTCCACTCCTATATGTCAAAAAAGAAGCAACTAAGGATAAGAGAAAAATGTAGCACACAAGTAAGTTAAAAATCCCCTAGTCCAAAAAGAGATTTACCTTGGTGCCCCAGTTTGACCTTGAGGGATGACCCTAGAATTGTGGCTTCATCCTCTTCAAATGGTGGGTCTAAAACTGAGATGGGACTTGGCTGGTCCTGATTCTCACTTACATGCCAAGGCATTAAAGGTTTTGCTACAGACAAACCTGCCTGCAAAAGGTGAACATGACAATGACAACTGATTAAATAATGGAATATCAGAAAAAAAAAAAAAAATCCAATAAGAATGAACTAGAATGCAGGTCATGGTTGTTATTATTAGATGATAAAATGGGATGGGATTTAATGACTTTATCTTTAGACAATGCAGCTCAGTTGACCAAGGGCCTCGTTTATCTCTGTCATGCCAAACAACCATTAAAAAATTGCATATTCTAAATATGGTCAATTTGTTTCAGCAATACCCAGTGTGAAAACATTTGTTCTAGTCATCGTGTTAATTTAAAAAAAATTTGTAACAGTTAAATGCTAAATATAGAAAATTAAAGATGTTCGAAGATCTCAACATGGGCAAGATGAAATCATACAGATCCACATCCTGCTATGATATATATACTATGAGAAAAAAATACACAGTAATTAATGAGGAAAAAAAAGGCAAGAAAAAGATATGCAGAAGATTGAACTACCTCCCGAGAAACTATGCCTTCTTTCTTTGCCATGCTGGTTAAATCTGGAGTTTTTTTTGCTGATCTACTCAGACCAGGAGACAAACACTCTTCAATGGAACTTTCATTAACACACTGAGGAACATCACCATTTGACTTTTGAAGATTAATTACTGGAGACCCTGGTGTTCCAGGAGTGGCAGATGGAGAGTCATCCACAGATTGAGAACCATTAGGTTTTTCCTTACTCAATTTCTTATTCTTTGAGAAAAATAAACTTGAAACTTTAAGCTTTAAAGATGATTTCGTGCCCTTTGCCTTCATAGCCTCCTTGGACCCTTGCATTTTGCTAGGCTCCAGATCTGAGACTCCAACATTGAGCACCATACCAAAAGCTGTAGAAGACATGGGGACAGATTTTGATCGTAGTAGATTCTTAGGAGAATCCTTCATACTTTCTTCTTTATTCACAGCACTGGAAGTCGATCCCCTAGGTTCTTGCTCTTTATTACTTTCCTCTTCATCAGACCTAGCTGGCTCCTTCTTTGTATCAGAAAGAGCAAGCATTTCACCCAAGGTACTAGAGCTTCTCCCAACATGCTTTTGTTCCTCAGATCTTCCATTCAATGCCATCATGGCCCATCTTTCAGAAAGGCGCTTCTTTGCTTCTCTGCAAACTGATGAGTCTGGAGAACAGGACACACAGCCAAAGGATGAGGAAGAATAAGGGCTGCCAAGCCTATTAATGTAATCCCATGAATGTCTAGAAGTTGGTGACATGACTTCTGAATCACTGAGGTTCCCTGCAGCATACTCATTTTCTGCTTTGTTGAATGAACTATCATCACCAATATCATCATTAGAAAACACTGACGAAAGTAAAGTTTCATCCCTCCTATGACCTATCAGATTTTCACACATCTGCCTCTTGATTTCCAAGGCCACCTCTCTTGATTCCTGTGCATCAGCATCTTCAGGTTTATGAAAATCTTCACCATGTAATATGCTAGGTGATGAGGGATTGGGAGAAATGACAGTTTTAATGTCCTGACGCTTGCCAGGGCTAGGCTTCAGTACCACTATTCTAGTTGGTTGAGCGGGATATCCATTGACTTCCTTATTTGCAAAACAAAAAGGATACCCAGGGTTATTTCTTTCCCACCCAGTCACTTGACCAACCTGTGCTGGTTTCTTTGTATGTTTGTTGCCCTTTTTCCTGGTTCCAGCAAGTTTATCATTTTCAACCATTTTTGAAGGTCTAAGAACAGTGATGCGCTTTGTCTCAGGAGGTGGTGGCAAAGACAACAAATTGGAGAGATGCTGAGAGAACATGGAATTGGGTTCTTGCAGAAACTTGAGGAATAACTCTTTATTGGTGCTCAAAACTTCCAATGCATCTTGGAATTCCTTGGAATGCCGACACTTTTCATCTGTTACCAAATGTTTTGCTTCCATAAACTTCTGATGAATTAGAGTAGTCTTTCTCTCATTTGAGCCATCATAACACCTTCCTTTTTGTGGCAAGTTATCCCGTGGTGAGTTATCCCTTGAATAGTTTGTCTTTTGAGACCACTGCAAGATTTCAGAAACATCTTTGTATTTGTTCAGCTCTTGACAATGATGAACATCACACTCTATTTGCTTGTCCAGAAAGCCTTTGTCTTGCTCCCAGCTTTCTACAGGCATTTCTGACTGACTCATAGAACACCGTGAAGAACCTTTTGAATGGCTTCTTTGTGCAGCTAGCTTAGGCTGCTGCCTTGGTAATGTCTCAAGCCCCATCAACTTGGCAACCACATTGGGTGGGTTAGATTCCACTTCTTTTGACATTTCCTGGGCTATAAGTGTCTTCATGGGTGTTCCATTAGTTTTCTGGTTACATGAAGTTCTTCTCAACTCAGACACAATCTGCACATACCACAAAGATACCCCACAGATAAAGACATGCACCAAGTGGTTATAAATACAGACAAGTACGGCATAGAGTTGGTTCTGTACTGGTTTAAAATGATTACGATCTCAATGGCAAAAAACCCAAAATTTACCACTTTATCCTCTATTGGATCATGAAAAGAGGGGTTCAACATCCTAACCATGTCAGAATGACTCCCTGAGAGTGAAGAACCTGCAAACCAACTACTTCCATGTCAATACCAACTGGTAATATTACCAAAAGATTCTTTTGGCTAACAATACTACTGAAGAGTTACAGAGATATGATTTTTCTAGGAAGAAAACTCCACCTGATGGATTGTATTTTACAATTTAAACCCCCCAAAACACAAAGAAAGCAGAAACACAAGCCAAATGACATTCCAAAAAGAACATTATCCAGTTAAAATTCTCAAAAGTTTGTAAACATGTCTTAGATAATGGTATAAACATACAATTTGCTGAAATTTATTTGCATTCTCAAACTATCAATCACAAAAAAGATGGAAAAAAATTACAAATAAATCTAGATAAACAAAACAAAGAACAGCTTTCATGTACATAATGAAAATAATTAAATAAATAAATAATGGAAATCACCATCATAATGTGGTTTATCACTTAGAAGTCGGTTTCCAGGAACGCCTGTGCTCAGGTCAAACAGGTTCACCATTCTGCCTAAGCATCCTGGAAAATTTTCAAAGTTTTGAGCTTTTCTGCCCTGAATCTTATTCATTTCAACACCTGTAACAATACATTGCAGAAATTAACTCCCAAAAGGGGTAAAACAAGGCTTTGGGAGAGGAAATGAAAAAATATTCAAGGAACGAGAAATCACAAGCACACAACAAAACATAAGATCAAGATGAACAGCTAACAGTATAAGACGAAGACCTAAATGCCAATTCGAGCCACGGGTTAATAAAGCAATAGGAAGTGTACAAAATCAAACCACCTACTTGTTCAACAATCACCTTCAAGTCCTTCGTTCCAAACTTTAAGACACTCCAGCAAAAAGAAAAACGTTAGAATCTATAAAAAGAAATGGAGTCAAAAGTTTGTCTAAAAAGTACCTTGATGATTTAAGAGAGAAACAAGAGGAGAGAAACAAGAGGAGAGAATGAATAGAGACAAGTGCATTGCTTTGCTGAGTAAAAATTATTTTGTCACATGAACTCTCACATCAAATGTTGCTCAAAATCAAGAACAAAGCACAAGTATCTCAATTCTTAATTTCCAAAAATCAAAATTCTCTGTTAAAAAACCTCCATTTTTTAGGGAAGAAAACAACGAAGACGCTTATTGAAGTAGTAATTCATCTGCATTCACTGAAACATCAAAAAACTTTCAGTAGATTCAGAATCAAGAATCAGCACAAAATAGAGAGAAAGCAGAATCTGATTCCAGAAAAGCTTTCAAAAGCTGAGATCATTATGGAGCAAAAAGGAAATCTAGAACCACAGAAAGAGAACTAGATTCTACTGTTTAAGATTATAAAACAAAAAAACACAAAGAAAAAAAGCATCCAGAAAAAAAAAGATCGGCAGAGAACGAAGCAAAACAGGGTGCTACACAGCTCGCATTGCTGGCCATGGAGGAAGTAGAGGAGAACTTAAGAGATGGAAAGATTGAGAAAAAGACCTGGCGGTGATCGGAATCTGAAATCAGGGAGGGAATGTGGCCGGAGAATGACCGAATCTGACGGTTTCACTGATTTTGCGTCCGGAGAATGCGAGCGTTGAACTCGAGGAGAAGTGCGAAGGGAGGGGGTGATGAGATGAGTTGGTTACTTATGGTTAATGGTACCGGGAGGAATAGAATGGAATGGAATGGAGTGGATGCTGCTCGGCTCTTACTCCACGTCTCCACCGACGACAACTGTGTTGGACTTGAAAGAGAACCGTTAAATGCGATTTAATTGTGTGTTTGGATTACTGAAGAGAGAGGAAGTAGATACTAGACATAGTACACTGCGATTTGGGACTTTGGACTGCGGAATTTTCCACGATGATGATATTTTGACGATAATGCAACGTAGTGCTTTACTCGTCCACATTTGTAGACGAGACTTTGGATACTGGTTAGGTTTTTCCTGTGATACATAGACTGTTACTAGGGTTATATAAATGTGCTGAGGTGCTTGTAAATTACTTGAATTGAAATTAAATTTGAGTCAAATTGAACTTGATTTCCTTTAAAAAATTTAAAACTCGATTTTAAGCACAAAAATATAATCAAGTTTGAATAGGGCTGAAAACTCTCAAATTACTTAGTTTGAGCTATAATTTGATTTTGTAGATGATTACTAATTTGAATTTCATTTTAGAAACTCATAAGTTACTCAAACTATTTACAAGTTAAACTTGAGCTTACTTGAATACATTTAAGCTTGAGTACTAAGGTACTTGAATTGGCTTAGTTTGGTTCATTTCTAACCCTAGTGAATTGATAGTTTTATCGTTAGTTATATGACTTAAATTTAATTTTTATATTAAGCTTGATCCCAATTCAAGTCTTAAATGAATTGAGCTCGATCTCAACCTTTACAAATTACTTCAACACTTAGTTTGGTTTTAACTCGTTTATAGTAGGAAGTCACATTGGCAAGGTCATTAAAGCAAATCAAAATCATGGTAAAATCCTATGAGTTCATATAAGCATGTTAGTAAGCAATCCATTAAAAAGGTTTACAACTATTAGAATCTCACCCACTAAAATAAGAAGACTTAAAATCAAATATAAGAGATTACCTAATTTTTCTTTTACTTTTGGGTGCATGGGGCACACATAGAATGATTGTGAAATTAGTTTCAACATGAAGGAAAATGACGAAAAAGTTGTGCTCTAATATAGTCTTTCATTGCGAGTTGAATTTGAGGATGTTTAAGCTCTTATTGATGACTTAGAAGAGTTTGGCTTGTCTTCTACTCAAGATACTCCACTACTTGAATATGGTACAAATAGCAAAACAAACAAAGTAGAAATAGAAGGATGATGCTTGGGATCTAGGCCAAAACCAAAAACAAATCACAATGAAATGCAATTGGTTGAACAACAAATGACTAAAGATAGAGAGAATAGTAAAAACACTTAAATTAGGAGCAATAGCTGCCACAACTCTCAAGCTCTACTCTTGTTGATATTCCATGATACGAGAGTGCCTGAATTGGAAGAAAAGGTGATAGGATAATTAGCAAGAGTAAGTGGAAGAAGCTAGATAGAAGAGCATTACCTTCATCCAAAAACATTAAAGACCCAAAGAGGAAAAGGAAGCAAGGACTGTTGAGTTTTGAATATAAGCACACTTTAAAGATTTTTCTAGATAATGAGGGAAAAACCTTAGCTATGCAGGTGCATGATCATCATTCTCTTGTTAGTTAAGTATATTTAACCTAAAATATGCTCTATAATGGAATAGAATTGTTGTAATGTTTAGTTTTTCAGTATCCACCAATTATTGTGTGGTTGGTATAGGTACTTAAGAGGAATAAAATACTCGAAATAATAGTTATGCTTATTACCAAATATGTTTCTTTTAGATACTCATGATCTTGCTCTTGTTTAAATATTACTTTCTTAGTTTATTTGATTGAAAAGATTCAACAGAATCTATGTTTGATATTAAGTGACTGTTTGGTGTTACTAGACCTTTTGGTAGAAAAGTTTTATTTGAGAGAATTTATTGTAAAAGTCCTACTTAGTAAAAGCTGAATATGTTTGATAATAACATTTGCTAACCTTTATTTGACTTATTGATTTGTATATGGGGTTGGAATCTTACTTAGAGATAATAAGGAACTTAATCAATTGATTTTTTATTAAATAAGTTTTAAATTCAATTTGGGTTTGGATTACGCTAGTATTTAGTTGGTCTCTAGTGTAATCACAAATCTTTGAGCATTAATTAAGGAAATCTTTTAGTTTCTCAACATTAATTACATTTTTGGATTTTAAATTTAACTAAAGATACAAATTCAAAATATTGATGAATACGTTTGATTTTTTGACTTAAATTAGTTATATGTGATATACTACTAGTTTTACATGATTTATTTTTGTATTTTATTTAATACTTAGGATACATGTTGGATTATGAATATATATTGATATTAAATAAGTGAATGTATGAGATTCACAACTCCAAACTAAATTAAGTAAAGAAGATGGCAACATCACATTTTTGCATGAGATGCTATTATTTTTGAAAATGCCATAATTATAACATCATGTAATTAAGATTGTAAAGTTATGATGATGATTTGGCATTAAACGAATAAATACATACAATTTACGTGTGGCTTTATTAATAAAATAATTAATCATATAATGACACATCCTGATATATGAATTTATAATGCCATATGATATTATAACTATTATTTTCAAATTATTTTTGCTTTTCTTGTATTTTCTTTGACATTATATTGCAATTTTTCTATGCCATAATCACACACACCTATACATCTTATCATAATTGAGGAACTTTTCTTATGGCTACAAGAGTATTGATAATATTATTTCTTTTTATTTTGAGTTGCTCAATAAGAAAGTAATATCTCTCATCTCTCTACTTCGAACCATCATGTTAATGATTCTAAAAGATATACACTCAGTTTAATTCAATCCACAATATACTCATTAAAAAATTATTATTTTCAAATTTGAAGTAAGGTAAAAAACTAAAATATGTAAAATTTAATGGTTGAACCAATGGGTGTTATGTGGTGTGTTGAATCGGAGGGTGTACCAATCATTTTCCATCATCAATACACTAACACTCACATATATTAGGGTATTTTTACCATTTTCACCTCAAATTGGCAATTTTTTTTTTGTACAATAAAAAGACAATCTATTAAATTTAAGGAATGTAAAGGGTATTTCAACCCTTAAAACATTGGCTATTTTATTGAATATTACAATAATATATGTATTATCTCATTCATTTTGACTTTAATGTAATCCAAGTACTTTTAAGTACTTCAAATTGGCATTTATTTTTCCTTGTTAAACTTTTCTAATTAAAATTGTAAGTAGAAATTTTAACCATATATTTTTGTTTTGCTTTTATATGGTATGCTAAGACAAAAAGAGATGTAGCAACTTTCCTCCGTAAAACTATAGAATGGAAGTTAGAGAAGAAAAAACAATTAGACTACTTCGGCATATATGTTCAAAACAAACAAAGCATGATGGTCCATGCAAAGATATAAAAATAGATATTTATAACATAAGCCTTTCTTCTCTTCTGAGCTAGATTTTATATACTTAACAACCGTAATATAGAGCTTTATCACCCTTAGCTCCAATTTAAATTAACATCCTATCTTTGTCAATGTTTAACAAACACGGTTTTGACAAGTATTATGGGACAAGTGGGCGATAACTTTTATATAAATACCACATGCAATTACAAAGGATTGTATCAACTAATAAAAGTTTGAGACTTCAAGGCTTTTATCGATACCATTTTAAGATTTGAAATTATAGATGTTAGATTTAAATCATTAGATTTGTGAGAAATTATAATCTATCACATACTTCATGTACCAAAAACTCTTAAAAAAAATCAAGTACAAAAGTTTTGACCAACATATAATTAGCTTTCACCATTGTTCACACAATCCAAATTTGTTATTTTATAATAGTTCAAAAATTAAAGGACTTCAAAAGAGGATATTTGTTTTTTGTTTTTTGCAAACATCTATCAATTGTCGACTCTAATCAAATAGATTATATTTTTTAAATTATAAACAATAATGATTATCAACCATTAAATATCAATTATCAACCATTAGCTGTACTTGAATAGCTAACCCAAATAGCCCTTAAAATTGTTTTAGTTGACATTAACATATACCATCCTTTATGTGATTATGATGGTCTTTTGTTGTCTTTATTTAAATCTTTATGGCTAAAAATAATACTTATAATACAAAATCAATAACTATAAGTTTTCTTGTGAATTAATAGTTGGTAGAGGGTGCAATTCAATGCTTTTAGTTACAAAATGTCAGCCCCTTTACTTCAATCCATTGCAAATCAACCCTTTTTGTAAAGATGACATCATCTTCCCTTTAAACCGTCCATTGTCTTGTTAAAATGGGATAACTAGGCGTTGATTAAGCAATGACTTGGACAAAAAGGCAACCTAAAAATTCCAAAAGTGACAAGTCATTGCTTAATTAGCACTTAGTCATCCCATCTTAATGAGTCTATGGACAATTTAACAAGAAAATGATATCTTTACTAAAATGGTTGATTTGCGGATTTCGTGTAGTTGAGGAGCTGAATTGCACTAGTTTGGAGTAAAGGGATTAACATGCTACAACATTATAAGTAGAAAGGTTGAATTTCACCTTCTACCTTAATAATATATAGAATAATATTTTTTTCATTTAGAAGTATAGAAAAGCCTTCTCAACCACCATTGCCTCAGGCAGAGAAAATCTTAATGTCCCCTCACCAACAAACCACATCTGTGGTCAAATTTGCCAAGCCCACCACGTTAACACATCTCTTTTTCTAGCTTAATTCGAGGAAATCCCCAAATTTCAGTTGAATTTCTATTCTTTTTAGCCTTCCCTTTTGACAAATACTCCCATGACATGTTTCACAAAGATGAGGTAGATTTTCTACCACTGTACAAATTTTTAGGTTTTTTTTTAAAGGAAAATAACATTGATAAATATCAATAAAGGTAACATTGATAAATATTAAAAAACATAAGTAAGGGATATGCGGAACATAAATAACAGCTTCAAATTCTATTAGAACTCTAATAGAACATATATCAACAACTTATTCCAATATATGGTCTATAAACCCTCATAAATAAGTTTGAAAATAAAAAACTAAGCTAGCTTATTTAGACGAATGGTGATGGGGTAAAACCCCATCATGACCCCAACCTTCCATATTGAGTAACTGTATTATATTTTAGGTTTCCAAAACTAGCTCGGATACAATTTCCATCCCATATTTGCAATTCTTGACTTTTTGAACCAAGATTGTTGCTCAAAAACCCAAATCATGAGAAACACATGGCGAACACGCTACATCCGTGCAACTATCACTACTCTCATGCCTAGTCCAACCTCACCTTGTAAGTAGCTATTTCCAATTGTCATTTGTAAACTCTACTAGGGCTCCACATAGTGGCCGCCTCTGCTCACACTTACTAAAAAAGAAAATCTTGTAGATTTAATGCCTCTTTGTTACAGGCAATTCAGTTTGAAAGGCATAAGATTGCTGCCACTCTGCTTGGGCCACTACAGCCAGTTCTTTCACCATCATGACCAAACCAGACCCCAACACCAAAACAAACACACTTACCCCACTTACCCCATAGTCAATTGCATCTTGAAAATGGAGTATATGAACTTAGACTACATTTAACATTGCTGTAGTTTTTAATTTTGGAAAAAAAAAAATTATTGTAGGTTCATTCATTGTTTTGAAAATCAGATCGGACTAGCCAATGGGACTAGTCAAACTGATACCCAATGCTATAAATGGTTCAAATGAGTATTTAAAATCGGTAAAGCGATTGAACCATTCAAAACCAACAGAATCATTTGAATCGATACAAACCGTTAAATTGACCACTTTAAAGTTATTGAAAATTTTTTTTTTGATTTGCCATCTTCAAGATTCGAATGGAAGAGCTAAGGGAGATATTCCCAGCCTTCTGCCACTAGGACGTCACCTACAATTTTGATATGATTAGCTCAAAATTTTATTTATTTTATTTTTAGTCAGCTGAATTTCCTTCCCCCTACTGGGTTCCTCATCCAATGTAAAGACAATGAACTCACCCAATGGAAACACAATATCGTTGACTTTCATGTTAAAATTAATTTAGTATTTATCTAATTTTTGTTTTAAATATATAAATTAAAAGTGTAATGAATATAATTTTTT